CCTGCTAACTCACCAGCAATCACAGTAAAGGGAAAGCAGCTGGGGGTGGGATGGGAATCTGGAATGAAGAAAGAGGAGAGAGGCACATCTCCTCCCTTCTGCCATTTTGCTGCTTCATATCACTCCCCTCTCTAAAATTGGTGTCTTTATTTTTGTAACGAGAAGCAAAACAAGATCATCATCAGTTGTTAAAATGTATTTGCACGCAGTGTTTAGCTCAAACCTCAGACGGTAATCTACAGGTAAAGAAAGTTCAGAGCTTAAAGTGGAAAAATTGTGTTACAAGCCCAAAGCCAACCTTCCAAACATATGTATGAGATCAATAAGGCAAACATGAAAATATGGTCCCAGGAAGATCTTTCTGCATTGCAAACAGGGACAGCTTTCCTGTAGCTTAGTTAGCTAGACAATGTTCTATTTATTCATCTCCCATCTGTGCTTGAAATCTGAATCCCGTTTCATATGAGGAAAGGGAAACTGCAATGAATATATCTCCATAGTGCACAGTACTTAAAGATTGATTTTGCTAATAATACAGCCTTGTTCTTTCGGCGCCAGAAAGGAAGCACCAGGCTGTCAGTAGACCCATCTGGAGTATTAACAGATACTTATGCACTATAATAGTTGTCCCCTAGCATTTTATAACCCTGACTATACATTTTTATACAAAAACAACCACAGCAAGCGCCAGATGGATGGTGGAGTGGGCTGGGGGACAATTTCCTTGCACCAGTTTATGAAGTTGTTGCTGATATTAAATCATCTTTAACTTTGATTATGCTATCAAGAACAAGGTAACACATCAGCCTTCCTCAATGTGTTGTCCTCCAGGTGTGCTGGACTGATCATTCCCAGCCAGCATGACTGTAATGGACAGGAATAATGGGAGTTGTAGTCCAACAAAAATACTCAGATTCAGTACAAAACCTACGATTCTGTAAAGTAGGACCTTGGCAACAGTCAGTGGCTCTCAAGGTGAAAAGACCAAGAGGTTCTTTTAGAAGGGTCTACAACATTATCTGCCACCATGTTCAGGTTTCTCTGTACCCTCAACTGAGCTGCAATCCTCACCATAACAGAAGGGAAGAGGATGGCTTTCTACAGCAACAACTTCCTGTTGTGAGCTATGCACCTATTACTCAAATTATTTTGCAGTGGCAGTTCTGCCAGAGTCACTCATTTTAGCCACACCGGGCAGCTGAGGGGGCCTAACGCTGAGGGAGGTCCAGAAGGAAAGAATGAGGAACAGGGCCTTCTTGGCAGTGGCCCCTCGCCTTTGGAACAACTTGCCAGTGGAGATCCGCCTGGCTCCCTCTCTGGGTGTTTTGAGGAATAAATTTAAAACTTGGCTATGTGGACAGGCTTTCCCTCCTGCCGTTTCTTAATTTCTTATACTCTCACCACGTTGGATCTATAATACTGTATATGTATTTTGGTTTTGTTTGTTTTTTAATTTGTAAACCGCCCAGAGTAGACCTTTGGTCTACATGGGCAGGATAGAAATCCAATAAATAAATCAATAATGGGCAATTTAGATCTGTTAGCTTTACAAAAGAACTGGTGGAGGTGAAAACTACTAGAATTGGCAGCTCAGCATAGTTGCCTGCAGTTTCAGACTCCCCTTACAGGCGTTGCTATAAGAACTTCAGAACACAGCCAAAGAGCCCAAAAAAGTCACAACAACCACTATAAGAACTGTTATGATGAGCATCTACACTTAAATATGTCCTGCTACGCTGATGGCAATGATGCTACTTTTGCCTTATTTTCCCACACAGGGCAGAAAAAGGCTTCTTTCCGATTGAAACAAAAACCTAAGAAACCCCTTTGAGCCAGACATAATTTGGGAAATTGCATCTTCTGCCTCTGACTGATTCAGCAGCCACTAGCCTCTCAGGTGCATAGCTCAGAGTGACTCTGGAGTATCTGTCTATCATTGGAATGCTTGGATAACTGCAGAGAACGTAGCACCTTGCACATGTAAACAGGGAACAGAAGTTTCCACTGCTACAAAATACAGTGGCTTGCCTCTTTACAGTGATGTGTTTCCAAGCGCACATGGCACTGGTACTCTACGCAGTGTGTGGGTTGGCAATCTAATCGCTTCCGAATGCAACTCAAAGTACTTGCTGCTAATGAAGTCATGCAGAGCTTCTATTTTAGGATTATCACCAGATTGCCAGGTTGTTATACTATTGGCAAGCAACCTAGTGTTCTTGGCAGTAGACCTAGTGATTAAAACTCATCTGGATTCTGTTAAGAGTTTCATAATGCCCACTGGTGCCTTCCTGCACCACAGAAAGTTGCCACGAACAGAGCGTCAGGAATCGTAGCATCTCCAGGAATCTCAGTGGTATGCATCAAGCATCTGCAGTGGCAGCAACAGAGCTACTCCCAGTGGACGGGGGCAATGACACATGGTGCCCACTCCTCCAGGAAGTTGCCCACCTCTTTTACAATTGAATGAGCTAATATTGCTGGGCACACATGTGGAAAGCACAAACACCTTTGATTGAAAAAGAGGAAGTGGGTAGGGGCCATATCTCCTGTTTTGCTAATACTGCCACAGTTGATGTGAGATAAAGGAACATGTAATCATGGTCAATATTTTTTAACACATCTGCTTGCAAACACCCACAAACAGGCCTTTTGAGCTTCTGTAGCGAAGCCTGCACTACTAAAATAATTGCTGTCACTCTCCTGAAAAAACTGGCAAAATTACCTGCAGAATTTTCTATGAGGGGACTTCTGTTATGGTGTGTATGCGATGTGCTCTCAAGCTGAACCAATTCCTAGCAACCCAAACACAGCTTTCAAGGTTATGTGAAATATTTTGGAATAATTTTACAAGTCCTCTCCTCTCCCATGAGCTTTGATGGCTGAGCAGAGATTTGAATCCAGATCTCCTGAGTCCTAGTCTGTTCACTCTGTCTACTGCACTACACCACACCACACTATACTACATTACACTGGGTAACTCAGTGTTAATGGAGGGTGTTCTAAAGCCATAGATATTTCTTCCTTGGTGCAGAGTCTTTCTTCTATAAATGCACAAAAGTGGCAGTGTTCTTCATGCCATCATTTGCAATGTACTAAGTTTTGTGTGACTGATGTTTAGCAGAGATTTACTTTTGGGACTATACCTCTCAGAATTTCTCTCCAATCACACTGAGGGATTCAGGGAAGTCTATCATCCAAAAAGCTGGCTGGATAGCTCAGTGAGTGTGAAGTCTAAAGTCAGGAGTTTGATTCCCCACTGTGCCTCCAGGGGAAAAGAGCTGGCCTGGGTGGCCTTCGGCAAGCCACACAGTCCTAGGGTGTCCCCAAAAGAAGGGAACCACTTCTGTGTACCCTCTACAAATCCTTGCAAGGGTTTGCCATCAGTCAGAAGTGACTTGACGGCACAGAAAAGAAATAACCCCCCCCCCCCAAATTTCCTCCAAGCTCCTGAATGGACCTAACGGAACAGCTGATAATGAGTCACCACTGCCTGCTTGATTCAGCTCTTGATCATAAGAGAAGGAAAAGCAGTAGCAGAAGGCATGTTTTCTGAACAAATCTTTCTCAAAACAGCCTGTTCTTCCAAAAAAAGCTTCAGCCTTCAAAATTCAAGTTTTTCCAACAATGTTGTAAGTTGAAAGTATTATGGGAACTCTTTAGAACTGACCTAAAACATTATTCCCAAAAATTCCACTGGCATTTCAATCAGATACAATCCACCCAAAAATACTATTATAAAAGTATTAATAACCCAGGCAAAAGTTTCAAATGCACAGGGCAGCTTGATACTCTGGTATGTGATTTATATGCATCCTGTGACTTACTCGTATTCTAGTAAGTCACAGAACGCATAAAAATTATACATGTGCCCTTTTAAAAAAATGCTGATAAAACTGGAGACAAGGATGGGGCTGACATTGGAGGGAAAGAATAAGGATGAAGATGGGCTTTCTGTACAAATAGGGGGTACCTCTGAGGCATGCAGTAAAATCCTGCTTTTTTAAAAAAAGAGAGAAGCTCTAGATCAGAGAGCTGGGAATCAAGATGAAGCCTAACAAGTTAAAATGGGGCTTACAAAAGGTACCCCATTCTGATGTCCTTGTTCTCTGAAAAGGGGCCAAATTTGTGAGGATGTGTGTCGTAACACATGCCTCTCTTAATACAAGTGCCCAGCAACTATAGAAACATGCACACCTAGCATGCACACACAAAAGGCTAAATCCAATTGTTAGTACAGTATCAGCTCTGGGTGACTGGGACAGGGCACTCACTTCCATTGCTGGTATTTATTTATCAAAGTCCCACTGATTCAATGGGTCAATTCTACTTGAGATTAACAACTGAATTTAGAATAATATCCATTACTAGAAGGCTATGACCAGTGGCCAAAAGGACTGTCTAAACAAAAATGCCTTCCTTTTTTCAAATCCCTAAAACTTCTAAATAGCCAGTTATATGAAGAATCTAGGGGAAAGGTCCAAAGGCTATCACACTTTTATTTATTTAAAGTTCAATATTCAATACTGAAGATTTTTTTAAAATTTGAAAATATTGTTGAGGTGGGGAGAAGGAGCATATTGGGAAAACTGCATATTGCTTACAAAGGAACAGCATTTTTTTGGTTCAACATATAGTCAAGAGTGTATGTTTGCACAAGGGGTCCCACTGAATGAATGTCTTTCATTTCCTGTGTGGGAAATACATAACATAACATTTCAGGTGTTATTAACCATCACCACCCCAACTGCACATTCTCCTTTGTGATTACCATGGCAACAGTCCTATCTTTTCAGGACTTCATATACGTATATCACCATGTTGCACAGAGTAATCTTCACCCTTTATTCACAACATCATGTGAATGTACACTTTCTGTACAAGTTATCAGGACAACATTTTTATGTGTGATGACTGATATTTTTTCCACCACAACAATTCACAGGAAATTCACAGGAATTTCAGATGCCCATTGGATAGCATTGTCTGAAGTTTCTACTTACCAACTATGAAAAATATGTGTGATTTCTTGAGGTCCTCTGAAAAATCTAAATTAAAAATTTTAACAATTTAGGGGGGGAAACTGTTAGTAAGCATAATTTACTTAGGTGACAGTGCAAAATCTATTGCATACTATGGTACAATCTAAGTAATTCTTACTGGTTCAATAGGATTTGCTTTCAAGTAAGTGAGTAGAGGATGGTTGCCTAATTCAATTAAAAAAACTAGCCTTGAATTTTCAGCCAGAATATCCTTATTTTGAGGTAGCAGTTCAAGGACAAAGTAGTAGTCCGATGTTATAGCTGTTAGTGTAACCGTAACAGAATATTTAAAAGAGTACTGTTAGACATTTTGTATGCCCACCAAATGTAAAAATGAAAAATAAAAATCTAGGAATAAAATATCTTTAACAAAGAGTATTCTTCACTGTATGCTCTCATTTTTTTAAAAAAGATTTGTCCAAAGTCTATATACAAAATTTAGCCACATTCTTATGCTGGAGTATATATTTCCATACATATTTTGATTGAAGTTCAGTCTGAAATCCAGATTCACTAAGCAAACGGTGCACTCCACAGAAATATGGAGAAAAAGGGTCTTACACAAGCGTTTTTTCCTTTATTGAACGTTTGCTTTTTCTGGGTCCAAGCACAGTTGCAAACATCACTTTCTGTAGTAAAATGAGTCCCACTGCCTATGCTAACAAGGAGGGGGACCTACACGAGAGGGTTAACAAGCCTTTATTTGGTCTTTCTGACGTTTTGCCCTACAACCCCCCCCCCATTTCACCAGCATCATTTCAGACAGGAGTTGCAGTCTACAGATTCTCTGTACCTGTTATTACCCATCCAAACTCAAAGGTTTGAAGCAAGCCACAATTTTATCTTCAGTCCCTTAGACAGCCTCCCAATCAATGTGGGTGCTGACCTCTATACTGCACTTTCCTCAGGCTCCATTGTCATATTATACCAAAGTTTGGGAGCTTGCACCAATGTCACTTCTTCCCACGCTGATGGTGAGCAGCACTGGGCAGTAAAGAAGAAGACCGTACTGCCCATGCCACAAGTTCTTCCACTTTGGAAACCAGGGAGGTTTGGGGTTCATTGGGGATTCTTGATACAAACTACATTCTAGTGGCACAGTGGTTAAACTGCTGTACTGCAGCCAAAAACGGTGCTCACGACCTGGGGTTAAATCCCAGGTAGCGGCTCAAGGTTGACTCAGCCTTCTATCCTTCCAAGGTCAGCCCCCGCCCGGGGGGGGGGGGGGGAATGTGTAGCCTGCGTAATTAACTTGTAAACAGCCCAGAGAGTGCTTGAAGCGCTATGGGGCGGTATATAAGCAGCACGCTTTGCTTTTTTACTTTGCTTTGCTTTTTGCTTTGCTTTTTGCTTTGCTTCTCTTTGCTTCTGGGTTTCTCATAGCAGCCATAACATGACCTGTACAACACCTTGTTGTTGTTGTTTAGTCATTTAGTCATGTCCGATTCTTTGTGACCCCATGGACCAGAACACGCTAGGCCCTCCTGTCTTCTACTGCCTCCTGGAGTTGGGTCAATTTCAAGTTATTAGCCTCGATGACACTGTCCAACCATCTCGTCCTCTGTCATCCCTTCTCCTCTTGCCTTCACACTTTCCCAACATCAAGGTCTTTTCCATAAGATGGCCAAAAGATTGGAGCCTCAGCTTCAGGATCTGTCCTTCCAGTGAGCACTCAGGGTTGATTTCCTTCAAAATGGATAGATTTGTTCTCCTTGCAATCCAGGGGACTCTTAAGAGCCTCCTCCAGCACCACAGTTAAAAAGCATCAATTCTTTGGTGGTCAGCTTTCTTTATGGTCCAACTCTTAGTTCCATACAACACTACAGGAAAAACCATAGGTTTGACTATGCGGACTTTTGTTGGCAAGGTGATATCTCTGCTTTTTAAGATGCTGTCGAGGTTTGTCATTGCTTTCCTCCCAAGAAGCAGGCGTCTTTTAATTTCGGGGCTGCTGTCACCATCTGCAGTGATCATGGAGCCCAAGAAAGTAAAATCTGTACCACTATAATATAGAATCTACTGCTAGAATTGTCCATATGTACATGCAGATAACTGATTTCACAATGGCCAAAATCCTGTTGCAACCCACTTTAGTTTTGCTAGTCATGAGGCAGAAGTGCTATCCATAAAGCACTTCTCCTAGTACAGTGCATATTGGTTGTGCCTGACAAGCTTGACCAATTTTGCAATTTAATAGTACAATTCCTTGTTGCTTGGCATGATGGCCAGCAGATTTATGCTGGTGTAACTTTATATCACCCTGCCATGACCAGGATTTTTCCCCAGTAACCTCCTATAAATTGAGAAGCCACAAACACAAACACAAACCTCTCTTCAGAATTTGGAATATTAATTTTCAGAAGTAATTTGTCACTATTACTTAAGTATTTTTTAAAAAATTATGTGTTGGTTTCTTCGTTTTCATGTACTTGTTAATCATTATTTGAAGAGGGAGATGTTAATTACCACCATGTTTTGTATTGTTGTTTCTTTCCCCATTGTTTTAAAAGATACTCTTTAAAATCCTTCAATCTGATCCCGAGAGGGCAAGGCTTTAGGAGTGATGAGTAAATATTTTATTTAAAAAAATAATGGATTTACCAATAATTTCAATACAATGTGCTATGTATATATACTACCCCATACTGCTTAAAGCACTCTCTGAGTGGTTTACAATTTAATTAGGAAAATTACACAGTGCCGTACCCCCATCCCAGTGAACTGGGTACTCAATTTACCAACCTCAGAAAGATGGAAAGCTGAGTCAACGTTGAGCCTGCCAGAATTGAATTCAGATCATGAGCAGAGTCTTAACTGCAGTAGTGCAGTTTAACCACTGTACCAAGAGTGGTTAAATCGATCCACAAAGGGATCATTTATGCTCTAGTAGGCTTTAAAAGCAATGTTTGACAGCATTCTTAATTGTAACATGTCCCTTCCGATCTATGCCGCCTTTACAGCTGTCAATGAAGGCAGCAGATCTATACGTACTTGTGCATACATATCTGGTCTTTCCATTGAGACCACTGGAACAGTCCAAACACACATCATATGTGTGCACATTAGCAGTCATGAGGTACCACTTCATACCTATTAGCTGTGACTTGCCTATATATGCAAAAAGCAGCTTCAGCTTATCTATGATGGTAGCTTGCCCCAAAACCTGGTAACACTCACCTTCTGCATTCACAGGTCCACAAAGACATGACTGGTCATATGCCTGTTAAATAAGCAAATGACATATTTTTAAAAAATTGGACAGTTGTGCATTTATTTCTACCACTATTAAAATAGACTTGTTAGGGATATCTGTCCACAGTCTTAGTCCTACTGGACTGTCTCCTAAGGACTGATTTTTTTTTTTAACACAGCTTCTCAAGTGCCTTCAAATGAACTCTGACAATGTGCATTTATGTTTCCGCAAAGTGATGAATGCTGTAGATTTTATGTTGGCAATTCCAGTGTACCAATTAAAATGCAGTAAGCTGATATGGAGGCATCCAGTGTACATAATGAGAACTTTTCCTGAAAACATTTGGGGTGGTGGTGGTAGGTGAAGGCTGTTTCTAGGTCAACCAGGATAAAATGAAGAGGAAAGCTTGCATTATGAAGCTGAAAGTTGGTCATTGCACATATATCAACTAATCTGCATATTACCAACTGAGAAGGCAGAGTTCACAGACTGACCTTCACCTGCTTCACTCTCCAGGAACTAAGGGGCAGCCTGTTTTGTGATGCCTTGCTGTTGACAATCACAACAAGAGATAGGTATGAACAGAACTATGAACTGAAAACAAAAATAATCAGTGGGCTTTCTCTGAAGCACCTTCCTCTATGCCTCCTGCCTGCTTGTCAGAGTTATTTATTTATTTATTTTTGCATTCTGCACTTCTAACTACCCACTGTTGTGAGTTCTTGACGTATTCACGCCACCCTCCCAGTGAAGCCTTTGCCTCTTTCATCCACAACCCTGGCTCACTCACTTCGTTCAGCAGCTTAACTTGTGTTCTTGTCTGCATCTGGCAGCAAATTAAAACACAGGCTGATTTTAAAAAAGGAGACTCAAAAAAGCTCACCTGCTATAAATCCATGTCTTCCTTTCTGAGTATGACCTTCTGAATTGAGCAGTACTTTAAGAATTTGGAGAACCTCTTTCCCCCCTTTTCTTTCTGTACAAAAGCTTGCCCCTTTGTGCCTTCCCGCCATCTTCTTCATACATTGCCTCTTTCTTCAATCTAAAATTGAATCCACTCACTTTGACCTCACTAACTCTTTTTCTTGCCTTCTTTCTCTGCCACCTCTCTTTCCTCAGGCACCTCCTTCAATCTGTTCTCCTTTCCCACCAGTCACAATTTAATGAATTACAGACCCTAACAGGAAAGCAGTTGTGTCCAAATATGCTCACACAACTCCTGCTGCACAAATAATTGTGCTTTTCTGGAATTTGCCTGGGGACGGTATCTAAACTCCTCCTTAAACACTGGCACACACACGTCTGTGCTCTTAGTAAAACTACATGAGGAGTCACTATTCCTCACTAACGACTCGTCTTCCAAGCCCCTAGCCTTCTTTGTGACAAACACATGTACACCACTCCTTCTACCCACCTTGCACATGGACTCTGTTGTTGTCACTGGCTACAAGTTTTCTCCTGGCTTTCCATTTCACCTCTATATTTATTTCACCCGGGCCTAGCTCTCTGGCCCAAGCGTCTGCTCACACTGCATCTTCCAGGCTAAATGAACACTGGATCCTTTATCACCATCTCAACTCACTATGTACAAAATGAAGCTGATCCATCCTTCCATGCCCTTCATATCCAGCCTTGATTCACTGACATTGTCCCCATCTTTTCTAATGACCAAGCAAGACAGCTTGGTTTTCTTCCTTCCACCACTCTTTCCCCTTTGCCCTTCTTGCTGGCATATTATGTTGTTTTTCTGTGCACAAAACAAACAAAAACCACAGAAGGAGATTCCCAAAAAGAAACGGAAACAAACGCGCACCTGCTAGAACCCATTATAAAGACAAAAGAGAAGCCACAAAATAACTTTCTTATTTATCACACAGTATTATTTATTGTGGATTCTCACTGAGGAACATCATTAAAATCTGGCCCTTTCTCCCTGAACAGAAACAGAGGTCATGGATAATGCTTGATTAGAAGAGGAAAATCTTTAACGACTGATTATGTGTTATCACAGCAGGAGCCTCCTTCACCTACTGGAGTTTGCTTTGCTTTGTGAACATCTTCAGGACCTAAGCACAGGAGTCCTCTGAAATCTGATTTCTCAAACACAAAGCTTGCCTGAATTACAGACATCTCTGCAACAACTTCCTTCCTTCCTTCATTCATTCACTGGTGCAATCTTCTCCCCCCCCCTTTTTATTTTCATTGTCTCGTCCTGACAAAAGTGTTTATCATGTTATAGCTCCAATGTGTGAAAGCTTTGTTTAGATCCTAACACTGAATTCCTGGCCGCTCCTGGTTCTTATAGAAAGGCTTTATCATATGTTCAAAACCCTGTAAACTAAAATTGTTCTAATTCTGAATTTAAAACAAACCATGACAGGAATTAATTACTAAGGTTGCAGACTCTTAGAAGGCAATAACAATGTTTGCAGAAAAGAGGCTTTTTGACATTGGCTTGCACTATGGCAACGTGCAAACATTGGCTGAAACATCATGGGAATGGGGTGGGGTGGAAACCCACTGTGTGTATGTGTAGATTTTATAGGAGCTCCTCACAGCAAGCTCCTGGAGCAGGGCTATCAATCTCTGATAGCACTGCATACAGTACAATGCAAAGTTTCCTCCTGATATGAATTTGGGGAAGATTCTATTTAAGGCAAGCAGGAAAACTTGTTGGTAATTCTTATGTTTCCATCTCCTACTTGGAGTCTCCCAGATATTTTATATTACAGCTCTCTTTGCTTATGGAAGTTTCAGTCCAAAATATCTAAAGAAGGCATTACTTCTGATTCTGATTTTGAACCTAAATGTGGTGAAAGAAAATATCAGGGTATAATTCTATGAAAATCTCACACACATGAACGCCCACATGTGCGCACATGGGATACCCAGTGTGGTGTAGCAGTAGAAGAACAGACTAGGACTCAGAAAGCCTGGGTTTGAATCTCTGCTCAGCCAGGGAAACTGACTGGGGGTGTGGAACTGATAAAAGCCATTCCTTAAATATCTCACTTAACTTGAAAGCCCTGTTAGAGTTGACCATAAGTCAGTTTTAAATTGAATGCACATATTATATATACATGAGTGTTTTCAACTTGAAAATTAATTCTTTAATGTAACTGAAATAAAAGCTTGGAAATACTGTAACATTAGCATATTTTCTCTTCTGTCAGATGGACCACGAATTCTAATGGAAAAAGAAAATCATACTTCTAGACATGACATACCAATAATTCAATTATTTATGGGAATGACCATACCAAATGATGCAAAATAAATAATAATAACTTATTTCTAAAGACACCTACAAAGAGAAGAAAGCTATAGACAAATTTAAAAAACATACAGGCACTGTCCTCAGTTTTATAACTGAGGAAACTAGATGTGTGTGGAACAGGAAACCAAAGAGGAAGTAGGGAAGGAATGAAAACTTAGGTGTAAAGCAAGAACTACAGCAATAGCAAACTTAAAACAACTGTTTACAGCAGCATTTAACTAAAAGATCAGCACAGACAAATATGTAGATCTCTAAATGGTTAAGATGATCACAGAGGAACTGATGATGACAATGTTGTGCTGTCAAGTCAATTATGACTTATGGTGATCCTTTGCAGAGTTTCCTAGGCAGAGACTACTCAGAAGTGGTTACTGGTAGCTTCAGAACAATAAATCTCAATCTATGGCAACACACAGTTCTTTTTTCCAGTGTGAATTCAGCTTTAGAAAAACAACCAAAACAGTCAAACAGTTAAATCTATAGAGTAGAGGATTTGACTAAATGGAGCATGAAAGCTAAGTTGCCTTTTATTGTAACCAAATATCGATAGCAAGTCGTTACAGTCAGAGGAAATATAACCACTCAGTTCTTGTAGGTGGCGATAATGGTGGTGTGTGACTCATAAAGCAAAGCAGTTCAAGTAAACCCACAAAATAGATGAAATATTTGTATAGTGGGTGTTGTTTTACAATAGCACTTAGCAAAACCTAACATGAATATGTTTTGAAGGAATTTTTAAGAATCAGAAAATAAATGTCCATGTCCTCACTTGCTGTCACACAAACATATTTCACCTTTTGACATCAGATGGGTAAGGTTGTTTGTTCATTATTAAGTTAGAAAAGGAAAAACCCCTACATAAATATGATTTGAGATCCTCCATCTATGTCCCTTCCTTCCTCTCCCTAACATTCTCTCCATTACATTTAGTTCTCAGTCTGCCCATTTCTGTTCAGAACCATCCTGTTGCATTTTATTTGTCCCCATGTGACTTGGGATGCACATGTGTCTAATATTGGTCTGGTACGACCAGTCTAAGAACTGTTTGCCTAGGAGAAAATGAATGAGAACTCAATGAGATTTTCTCCTGCTTTCTGACTTCACATTTGAGACGATGACATTTTTCATGTTAAACAGGAGCAAGAAATGCACAAAATTGAGACAACTGCTCCTTAAATTCACAGAAATTAATCTGAAGCCTTGGATGGGTTATCGGCCTCTTTCTTGACAATGAGCCAATCTGTTCTTCTTGTATATCAGCACTTTGTTTTTCAGAGGAATAGGACAATAGTTTTGTGTGAACCACAGAGATCTTATGAGGAAAAATAAAGATTTTTGTCTTACTCTCAATTGGAGGGCTTTCAAAATCTGATTGCTGTGTCTCATCAAGGATTTTAGCAAATATCCTCTATATGCTTAATGTATATACACTTTAATTTAAAAGACAACCAACAACACCCACTACCACTGCAGCAGCACTGTAACTGTGAAAACAAAAATTCAAACATGTCAAAAGCACCCCTCTAAAAACCAGCAAACCCACACAGTTAGCATGTGTGAGTAACATGGAAGGCAAAATTTGTTCAGGAGAAACTACAGATCTTTGCATCTACAATTGATTTCATTCCCAATCTTTAATATACCAGTTCCCATGGTAACTTAAGATGAACAGATTGTTCACAGGCTTCAAAAGATTTCTGCTAACCATCTTTTAACATTCCAGGACATGGAGTGTTTAGAGCAAGCGTTA